ACAGGACTTTACGGGAAGACACAAATTTTCCTTGGACTGACAGACCGGGACCAGGAAGAAGCCTTTGTCTGGGAAGATACTAACCAACCTCCAGTTTATACCAAGTAAGTCGACGTTTGTTTCCCCACAATGTTTGATGATCATACTCAGCATATACACACGCATATATATATATATATATATATATATATATATATATATATATATATATATATATATATATATATATATATATATATATATATATATATATATATATATATATATATAGCATAATAATCTTCTTCATATATTCCTCTATATATCCAACGCAAATCCATTCTGAATAATAGGTAATAAAACATTCGATGTAGACGAAGACTCGAAACAATGAGCAGTGAAGCGGTTGGCCAACGTCGTAGTGGAACAGTCCGAATCAAAGGCAACAGTCTACTGGAGGAAACACACCAAGCAGGTAAGAAACCCTTCATGTAATAACTAAAGGAAAGTATTGAAGTAGGTCTATTGCCATATATTTGTAATGATATTACATGCCACCCACCCGCCCCCCCCCCACGCCTCCTCCACTCCCCCTCTATTGTATTGCTTCGTCTTCACATATCGAAGCGTCTCATGGTTCAGGTAACAGAGGACTGTGGTCATATTGTCCATGCCAATTTTTACCCTTATATGCTGTCACACAAATGCAAATGTGTAAACATTATATGACAACACAATATTTGCATGGACAAATATTCCTGTCAAACAGGTCTTAATTGAACACACACAGTTCCAACAGTTTCACCATGTATGTTCGTGTGTGCGTTGTCCCGTGCCCAGAGACCTGTCGTTCAGAAAGGGGTGGGGATGGGCTTCGCCCACACACACGGAGACCCCCACGAACTTTTATGGAGGCACGTACTTTAATTTTAGGACTTGTCTCCGTATACAACATCTGCAGTGTTCAAGTACATATGCATATGACGAACTATACGAGTCTGTCAATGTTTTGGAGCAATGATTTTCATTTGATACGATGCCAGTGTTCAAACCCCAACTAACAAAAAGGACCTATAGAACAGTTAACCTATCAACCTTAACATATAAATAAAAATTATAGATAAAACAAAATAAACCAGTATTTAGATCATTAAAGTAGGTGTGAGGTTTTTTATCATCAAAGCTGGAAATCAACAAAAACAACAACATACAGTCTGTCGCAAAATTTCATAGCTGGGTTTTATTTTCTGTGTAATTTTTTTCCTTGTATCACATTAAAGTTGCACTTATTGTTCCGGGTTATGGTTAATGGAAATAAATGCATGAAGCAAATTATTTTTATCCAAATGCTCTCTTTTTCAAGCTTAATTCAGTGTGACCCAACCAATCATCACAGGTTTTCTCCGGGTACTTCAGTTTCCTCCTGTAGCAAACACTGGACAATAAAGCTCATTACAAAGAACAGTCCAGCCGTCCGAACGGCTGAAACGCCGCTCACAATATAGTAAAAACGAATGACTTTCTGTCTTCATAAAACTTAGAAAAAATGTTGTCTTATGCAAACTTAGGAAAACGTGGCCTCCCTAAAATTTTCATCGAAGAATACTTTGTTCTTGAAAAACGAGTCTAATACACCTGAGGTGTGAAGACGTTCCTGGGGCATGAGTGTGAGGACTGAGGATGCTCCTACACCTCTAAAATGGGAGGAGAGCCCCAACTCACCAAAAACATTGGTCTCTGATGATGAGCTGTTACAGGGTCAACAATGAAAATTTCAAGATCAAATGGCTCTCTCCCCAAAAAGGCCTTAATCCTAATCGCCAGTGAGGCATTACGGTTGGAGCCCATTAAAACTGGGATCCACTGAAATTATTACTTACCGACATTGGGACCCATTACTACTTAGCTCCAATCCCAGTGATTAGGTTAGATTGTTACCAACTATGGCTGGGACCTGTGTGATGAATCAACAACTAATAGAGAGGACATGATTCCTCCAAAACACGAAGTCAATTAGCTAATACTGTACTGCAGCAGCATTGTGAGGGTCACTTTATCTCGGTGTAGCAAGAATTTTCCTGGAGAGATACAGATGAATCTAAAACAGGCGAGTGTGATCACTGTACCCACTTGCATGGGAGAGATGAGGCTTTAAAGGAAAGAAGGTGGGAAGGGGAGTACTCCGATATCCTCATAAACGGAGTGAGGGAAGGGAAGGGAGAGACTTTCATATAGACAATGACCGGACCACAGGCGACCACAAAGACGGTATAAGGATAAGGAGTGGGTCAGACGTCCGCGGGAACAATTGGGGGCGTCACGTTTACTCGCTGATAAAGGAGGGACACCGATTTCATAAAAGGTGGAAGGGAAAAGTGAAACATTCCTTTTAAAACTGATGTGGAATACGAAGGACTCCAGACTTAGCTGATGAATAAAACGATAATCAATGAATATGATAATTTTGACGTACCTGAGATATAGTGTGTCCCTCGAAGAGCTGTTTTAACTCACACTTACCTGGAAAAAAAAAAAATCCAGTTGAGATTACCTGCTGTCTATTCCACACACAAACACCTTTATGATTATTCACATTAAACTTACAGGAACAACTACGGCAGAACCAATGATCTCAAGCATTAATTTATGCTAAATGGATGACTAAGAGAACTTGTTCAATATGTCAAAACAGGACAGTAATACAGAACAGTATTAGTACAGTAGTAGTTACCTTGTGCTGGTGGTAGCGGAAGCCCTGGCGCAGAGAAAGGTCATCACCTGGCACCATCTTGACACTTTATGATACCTCGTGGCACTTGACAACACCTTGCTATACTCCATGATACACTTTACACTTTGCGATTGTTCTAGATACTTTGCAACACTTTTTATCATTAATGACACGTTATGACACTTTATGAAATTTTAAAGATTTCATGGCACTTTGACACTGAAAAACTTCACAGTACCGTACGACACTTTTCGATACTATATAACACTATGTTGCTTGGACACGTGATAACTATTCGATACTTTATGACACTTTATGCCACTTCATGACACTATGAAATTATATTCCTTTTTACGGCACTTTAGCGCATTGGCACATTAAAACACTTCATGACACTTTAGAATAATTTGACACTTCATGACACTTTAGAATAATCTGACACTTCATGACACTTTAGGACACTTCATTATACAACACTTACGACACTTACTAAACATAATGACACTAAGAGACCTTCTGGGACTTAAAATCACTTTATAAAATCTTTGGATATTACATGAACAATTGTGACATACAGTGACACTTTGTGGCATTTTAACACCTTATGCCACTTTACGGCACTGTATACCACTCTTAAGACACGTATGGGTGTTTTGGCACCCACAATTACTTTGTGACACTTTTAAATCTTCATGACAAACACTTCACATCGCTTATATTACTTCATGAAACACTTATAAACACTACGTTTACTTACGAACACGTTATGATACATGTCAACACAACACTTACGAAAACTGTTGAAACTTAAGACCACTTTGAGACACTTATAAATACTTTGTGGCATTTGCAAAACCTTCATGACACGTACATACACTTTATTACACTGAGAACGCTTTACGATACAGTAATTTGAATACCTCCGTTAATTTCAATCTCTTCACCGGCCATACCCTAACTATGGCAGTCGGCTTGTTATAACATCACTAAAGCAACCGGCAAAATTTCGTTTATTACCTGCCAGTCTAAAATAGTCATCTGAATTACAGCCGAACAATGACCATTTACTTTTTAACTTGCTTAATCTTTAACAAATTACCCAACTCACGTTAAAACTAAGTTAATCACGTCCCACATCCCTGGAGAGAGAGAGAGAGAGAGAGATCGCGTCAGGGTAATTTATTTTTTTTTATTTTAAGAAAGAAGCCACACTGAGGTACTCCAAGGTTTGCTCAGTTCTGGTTCGGCTTCAGTGAGGTTATAATTGTTGAACAGAGAGTAGGAGGTCACTTTGGCTAGGCTGGGGTAGGTATGGTTAGGTATGGTTAGGTTAGGGTAAGTAGTTAGTTTAGGTTAGGTTGAGATAGGTTACAGTAAGTGGTTAGGTTTGGTAAGGCTAGATTAAGAAGGTTGGATAGATAATGTTTCCTAAGTTAGATTAAGTAGGTCAGGTTAGGTTAGGTTAACAACAAGGTTTCCTCACCTATTAACGTTAACTAGACTTCTTACCGACTAAACAAAAATAACTAATAGGCGGTCTCTTTCCCTGGCTAAAGCTAACAGGACGGTCTCCTTGACAAACTTCAGTCCGCAAAACACCTGTGTCTGAAATTCGATTTATCCTCTAAATAATATTGGTTGTCCTTCGTATAACGAGGATGGCTGGTCCAAGGGCTACCTAGGCATGAATTTCTCTGGGTGTAGAAACTGTCGCCAACACAACAACCACACCCTAAGTTAACGAGTTGCATGACCCAGTGTCAAGGAATAGTCCGAGAAGACCGGACAACTCGCCAACTGCACTGGCTAACCATTACCCCGGAACACGATCTGCAAATCGATAAATATCCAGGTCCCCAATTACTGGTGGGTAGACAGAGGCAAATGGTGTAAAGAAACTTGCCCATATCACACACACACAAATCAATAGTAATCTTATAAGAAATACACACTGCATACACTAATGTACTCATCTCAGCTACAGGGTCTGCTTGTGGTCTACTGGTGCGAAAATCTATAACCATTATCTTCCATGTTCATTTAGCGGTAAATGTGTTCGAATCAAAGTGGGGATGGTGGTGAGGGGGTGGGTGGATAGGGTGTTGGTGGGTGGGGGGGAGGGGGGAGCTAGGGTGTTGGTGGGTGAAGTAAAAACCAAAGTTAAGATAGTCGTTGTAATTAAAAAAATCCGGGTATGTATACTGAAATCTCAAACACCTTTTATTTCATGAATTAAGTGATCTGGTGGCAGTCTTTGTTATCATGAGCTGCGCACCACTGACCTGGCCAGCTGGAATGTACCGAGGCACACGGAGCTTAACTCTTGTACAACACGGACGTCAGCTGCAGGTAGCCACCACACGCTTACACGCCACAACGTTCTCGTGAGAAGGTACGTGAAGTGGTCGCCCACCTTGCTGCTTTGTTACGTGAACAGCAGGGCTTAAAGTGCACAAAATCTGAACCACCACTGGCAATGGCAAGTTCAGTTTGAGGCCATATGCATTGGACATTAGGACTTATTCTAAGGTTGAAGGTGTAATATTTCCAACCTTGTAAGTGTAAGTGATGCAGACTTGCACCAAACTGCACTAGTCTAAACATTACAAGGGGTCTCAAAAGCTTCAAGGGAGGTCCCCAGATTTTGTCTAAGGGGGCCTTGACTCCCTGGCCCCCTTCTGGATCCGCCTATGCTGCATGTGCAGACAGAGCGAAAGTACCGTGAAAATGGTTCTGCAATATAGATGTATTACACTGAACGAGAACAGTATTCTACTATGTACCAGCTGGCTGCGCCGAAATACACAACAGTTTTCTGAATGAAGCAAATCCGACTATTGAATAATAAAGTGCGAGAACCTATTTTGATGGTGCTGACACATTCCAGACAGAAATGAGTAAAGAACCCTAATCTCTTATTTTTTTTAGAAACTGAATTCATGTCTATTGCTTCCCTTTTCTAAGCCACTTTAACACATACTGGTTTGATCTTAACAGAGCTAATAGAGGCCCAACATAGTAGAGAAAGAGAGATGGTGAGAGGGGTGTCACTGAGCTCGACTATACTTTGTCTTGGACCCAAATTCTGGAACAGGGTGGTAATATCGACAATATATACCTAGATTTTGCCAAGGCTTTCGACAGTGAACCCCCATGAAAGGCTGAAAATTAAACTGGAAGGGTACGGGATTCGGGGAAATATCCTAGCGTGGATCGGAGACTTTCTACATGACCGCAAGCAATGTGTGTTGTGATTATTGGCACGAAATCATCATGTGTACCCGTCACAAGCGGGGTACCACAGGGCAGTATATTGGGCCCGCTGTTGTCTGTTTGCTTCATAAATGACACGCCTGACGCTGTACATTCCTCCATACAAATGTTTGCGGAGGATGCCAAGTTATTTCGGGAAATTAAGGACGACGCCTACTGTGAAGAGCTGCAGAATGGTCGAAGAAATGGCTGCTAAGATTCAATGTCACGAAGTGCAAGAGGATGCACCTGGGACGTTACCAACTGCATTAATTGAGACTGAATGTGTATATGTTGACAATGAGCTGAAGTTCTCGGGCCATTGCGAGAAGAAGGTAAATCAGGCAACTAAATTACTCCGCCTGGAGTACTGTCACCCCGTCTGGTCCCCGACATATGCTAGGGACTGTCAGTTGATTGAAAATGTCCAAAGGTGCCAGCACTACGGCACTTCAGCTACCCTGGGAGATTAGAGCGCCTGAAATTTCCTAGCTTATATTACAGACGGGCAAGGGGAGACCAATTGAGGTTTATAAGCATCTCAAGGGGCACTTCTCAGTAGAGTGCCCTTACCTGGAGCTGGCGGACGCTCGCCCCACAAGGGGTCACAGCTCAAGGTTGAAGAAGCCGCAAGCCCAGAAAACTGTGAGGGGGTAAATTTTTTGGAGTGAGAACTGCTAACTCTTGGAACAATCTGCAAGAGTGTCGTGACGGCACCGAGTATGAGCTCTTTCAACACCAAACTTGACAAGCACTGGAGTAGGTTCAGATACATTCAGGAGCCAGTGCATGCCCAGTACTTGCCAACAGTGCGTAACAGACGTGATCGGTCGCCCAAGCGGCTAACGAGCCGATCAGTGGTGAAGGGGATAAAAGTAAAAAGTAAAAGTTGAGAGTATTCGTGGCTCTAAATCTAAGCTCACCCTCAACAAAACTGATATGAATGGTGGCAACATAAATTATGACTTCCTTAGTACGATTAAAATCACGACCTCACTCATTACAAAACGACTTAACCCGTCAAATATTAATGTATTTAATGTTGTTTTACTTTGTGTATTGGACTTCTCAAATGCGGGACAATCATGCGTCCGACAGATTTTTTCGGGACAAGGTAATAAGACACGGGATAACATAATCCCTATGTACGGATGTCATGAGACCGAGTTCCTCTTGTGGTTGGCCAAGAGTCGCATGACTTTCGACAGATCGTGTAGGAGCTGACCCGCCCATTATTAAATGCATTTAAAAGCAATTGGTTGTCATTGTATCTACCATTTATTAGGATTATAGTGTTGTTATGGACACCATGAGTTCTATTGGCTCTGCTCCGTTCTTATTATTATTATTATTAAACACTAACTTTTTAATTTGATACTCTGCATAAATTATTTGCAATGATTTCCATATAAATGAATAGCACCATTACTAACCTAGCCTAATTCAATTGTAGCTTAGTTTTAATCAATAAAATATTACATGAAAACAGAAAATTTGATAGAATATGAAGATATTTCCATTTATAATAACTAAAACAAAATGTTACCCCTTTTTGTCCAAAGTCAGAAGCGTTTTAAGGCGGAAGGGGACGATTATCCGTGCTTAATATTCCTCTTATCCTCCACTCTTAACTTCCACTTTTACCTCCACTCCTCGCATTCCTTTTAATCTCCCTTTATAACTCCCCTTCTTACGGGAATAATGGAGGAGGACGAGGTGATGGAGGAAGAAGAGGGGGTGGTGAAGGAGGACGGAGAGGTAGGGGTGGAGGGCGGGAAGGTGCGTGTGGTGGGGGTAGTGTCGTGCTGTGAAACACCTCAACAAACACTTAGTAACGATCAATTGTGAGACCAATTTTATTACAGGCAGGTGACAGGTAAACAAACCGACGTTGATGACTACAGGTATTCAGCCAAACGTCCACGAGGTTTTAGTTTATGTTGAATTTTTATGGAGTTCAATTTTTGTTTTGTTTTAGTGATATTAAATATCGTGAGAAATGGTTTTGGAAATAGTTAGTTGTGAATCAAGTCCTCTTAGCTTTCATATCTGCTTCGCTTCCGACATGCGAGGATCGTTCAAGGTGTTTTTATAAGATCAGGGATGGCGACCATGGCCACTACACATACTGTATAATAAAACAATCCTGTAAACTTTTCTTTTTGCTCTTTTCACTTAATTAACAGTGAAAAAGTAAGCCGTCTGTAACATATAATTATAATAGACTAATTATTATCAGTACTATATTTCATAGACTTTAATAACATAGTATAATAACTATTTGTGAAGAGGCATTAAAAGTAAATGTACGTGATCTATTTTCTTAAAAAAAAAAGGCTGACTAATGCACCACCAAACACTTAGTACAGTATGTTCTTAATGTATTGATGCAAAACTTTTTCTTCAAACCACGCTACCTCACTCACGCGTTCCAACCGAACAAAATAACTTGTTGTGTGCGTGTATATATATATATACATATATATATATATATATATATATATATATATATATATATATATATATATATATATATATATATATATATATATATATATATATATATATATATATATACATATATATATATATATATATATATATACATATATACAAATATCATGTAGATCCACAATGGAAACGTGGATAAGATAAATCTTGATAAAATCACACAGGGAAAAGGGAAACAATGGAGTACCTTAGCTTTCGTCTTTATTCAAGAGAATTGACAATTTGGTCATTTAGTAATTTATCTTTATTTATGTCTCAGGAATACACCCCCTGATTTATGAAAGGTATTTACGGCTTGGATTCATTTGTGAAGGTACTTTGAAAATAGGTTCGTCTTGGGATTGGTTTAATATAAAGAATACCAAATATTGTACCCCAAGTCATAGTGTGTAAAACCAAACAAAGTCAGTAGACTTACTCCGAATTTTGTTTCCAGTTAAGCATAAGACTTATGAAATAAGGATTGACCAACCAATTTAGCTGGGCTGCTGGTTCAATTTGTCACCAGTGTAAATTATCATGACACCGAGAGAGCAAATCAAGAAGATAAACTTAACGTATTTATTATTAACTTAACAACGATGACTTACGAACTAAACTTACAGTAAACCAAGAATGGCTATGAACTTAACGTCTAACATCTTAACTCTTGAATATAACTAAGGGTAAGCGAGACGGGGACACAGGAATAACATTCTACACAACACGGAGTAATTTCTGATACATAGTGTTTATTCATATTGTTACGTGATTGAAAACTTTGCCTGAATTTGAGGTTTCATGGGTTTCATTGACTATTGTCTCTGGGCTTTGGATAACTTAAGAACTTTTTTGTAGTAGGAAAATCTCTCAATCTATGCCATTACAAATTAGCAAGTTCCAATAGCTTCGTGTGAGGCTTAATTAATGTTTATTTTTTATATCAAGCCAGCATAAATCTTTGAATTAAAAATTTAGTAATAGGGATAGAGAAATGTAAGATTACGTTTTGTATAGAATCATATTAACATATACACACACATAGTAGGTAGTTAACCAAACATATATGAACAGTGCATTAAACATAATAAATCCCTATACATTCAATACACCCAGTCCAGAGTAGCAAGTTGACGAACCGAGAACAGCCATGCAAATATGACTGAAACCTTGTGAAGGTGGTTAGGTTGTATCCTCCACCCTCCCCCCGAGAAGTTAAATCTTCTCGTCCTGAAGAAATTCTTCACTTCTTCAGAGATCGAGAGGGTAACTAAGGTCGTCCCTAGAGAAAATGGTGGTCTCATGGTTACCTTCGGTGACTGGGGAAAAGTAAGCTACTTAAGGACGTCAAAGTCTTTAATGACGCCCCCATTAAGGTGGTCGTTCATTTTGATGACAGCTAAGTGTAGGAGAGTTATCTCCCATGCCGACATAGAACATATGGAGAAGACCGAACTACAAGAACTACTAGGAAATAAACTCGTCGTCGAACAGAACCTTACAAGACCTGACGGGAATCTACCTACGCCGTGGCCGGATTTCTGCACAAACTCCCTGACAAGATTACACTGGGATGGAACACCGTCCCAGTGAAACTCAACGTATTGTACCACGATCGGCCAGATGCTTTGAGTGTCAGCGGTGCGATCA